CCATGGCATCCCGTCCCGCCCCGCCCTGTCCAATACCATCCCATACTATACCGTCCCATCCTATCCCATCCCATCCCATCCCATCTCATCTCATCCCGTCCCGTCCCATCCCTTCCAAGCAGGCCTGGAGGGACAACGAAGGCGGGCCTAAGTTGGCCGTGGTGGCTGACGACGACGACCGCCTCCATGTCGTCCTGGAAAACCTGGGGCTCCTACCGTACTTCGACTTTGTTCTCACGAGCCGTGAGGTACGTGGTGGTCAAACGTGCCTAGGGGCTGGCTGACCTTCGCAGCGGATGCAGTGGGTTTCTGCTGCAAAACAGCGGGGGGGGGGTTACGGCGTGTGCTATCCTTGCGCGATGGGACATCAGCACTGTCCGTCATTAAGCAGTTTTTCACTTATGGCGTCAACGATGTCTAGCTATGTAGATACGCGAAACCGTCGTGCCAATCCCCGACATGTTTTGGAGTGAACGTCCATGGCGAACAGCTCTCTCTTCGCATCGCACTGACGGAGATCAAGCGAGCGAGCCCTTGCTTGTTACCCTTCACGGCTGCTGGCGACTGGGTAGTTGTTGCTGGTTGACATGTATTCTGCACGACGGGCTTAATAGTTGACATGTATCCTGCACCACGGGCTTGTGATAGTGCTCTTGCGTGCGCGCGCGCTCCTGCTGCTTTTGTACCACACCACAAGCTTGCGATCGGCGGCACGGCCAGCAGGTACATCGCAGAGGAGTGCTTAGATAAACGGCAGGAACGACACAATGTTAAAAACGATCGCGCCCCCCCGTCCGTGCCTACCGGTAGTAGAGTGGCGATCTCACGGTACATCATGGGCATGTTTTCGCGGTTAAAGTTGTTGTGGTGTGTTCCGAAAGCGTCGGGCTAATAACCGTTTGTTTGGCCCGCTGCCGTTGGTGTGTTACAGACGGGGTACGAGCCTCGCGAAACCAACATGTACGAGATAGCGTTGGAGACGGCTGGGGTGAAGCGTGCCAAGAAGGTGAGCAAGGCGGAGGGGGCACGGCAGATCGGAAGAAGGCACGGGGGGGGGGGCAAGGGTGTATGCATACCTGAAGACAGACGGGGACAAGCATATATGCATTGTTCGGAAGAGGTAAATACGGTTTTACGTCAAGAAAGGGGGAGAGGTAGAAGTGAGATGGAAATCTACGCTGCGGAGATGAGGAACTCGAAGTGCTTCGCAGTCGGCAAAAGATCCACGCGCTATGAACTACGGGGAAAGACCTGAAATGGGCCCAAGCGTGTGCTCAATTTCCCGCCATCCAAACACAGCAATAACTTGGATTTTTGTGGTAATTGTCTGCCATTCTTTTCCTTTCCACGGGACAATTTT